AAACATCTGCAATATGCTCATTAAACATGAGGAAAACGATCCTTTTTAAAGCGACTGATAACTGGTGATGAGAAGTGGATTGTTTACAACAATGTGGTGCGCAAATGGTCTTGGTCCTGACATGATGATTTGCCTCAAACGACATCGAAAGCAGACATTCATCAAAGGAAAGTTATGCTCTCAGTGTGGTGGGATTTTAAAGGTATCATGTTTTTTGAGCTCCTACCAAGGAACCAAACAATCAATTTGAATGTGTGCTGTCGGCAATTGGACAGTTTGAATGAATCCATCATCCAGAAACATCTAGAGCTTGTTAATTGTAAAGGAGTTGTGTTCCATTGCGACAATGCGAGACCACACACAAGTTTGATCACCTGTCAAAAATTACTGGAGCTTGGATGGGATGTGTTGCCATACCCACCATACTCACCTGACCTTGCGCCGTCAGTCTTCCACTTGTTTCACTCTCTTCAAAACTCCTTGCATGGTATAATGTTCAATTCAGATGAGGCTGTAAATCAGCACCTTGTTCAGTTTTTCGCAAATAAAGACAGGTCCTTCTATGAACGAGCAATTATGAAGCTCATTGAAAGATGGCAAAAGGTTATCGAACAAAATGGGCAATATATCATTGATTGATCTTTGTTCTTTATATAAATAAATGACCTTTGAAAAACATAGACAAAATATGTCATGACTTTTCGACAACCCAGTATTTACATAAAGTTTGGAACATGCATGTGTATAATAAACGCTCATTCGTTTCTTCAACTTTATTTAGAAATGCAGATTTCCCAGTTAGTCTGGAAAAAGATGTGGAATTATGTCATGATAAAATGATTCCTTGATTGACAGCAAATTTATTTATCAGTGGTTCCTGTTTTTTTTAGAGTATAGCTGTTTGACAGGCTGAGATGATAAAAAAAGGTAGGCAGAGGAACCTTGACCACAGTCTTAGAGGATACTCTAGAAACTAAGTAAGTAAGCTTTATAGATCCATACAGATCTTGAATAAAGCAGAGTTTTGTTAGTTTTAAATATTTGTTTTAATGCAAATGATATTAACAAGGATAGTTGTGATTCAAGCTATTTTCTACTAAAGGTTTTAAGAGATAAGGTTTATATTATGTAAATGAATAGTTTGTATGTTAACAGACATGGTTTCAAAACTTTTTCTTTTTAATTATTTTTAACTTAAAATTCAACTTAATTTTAAATTAGCAATATTAAGGGAAAGGAGCATCCTGGTAAAATTAAGTAACTTTTTTAGGTGTGTGTGTGTGTTACTAAATCTTTGTATTCTAAGTTATATCAAACACCCTGGGCCAAGTCATTCAAATATTCTTGAAGCCGTACAGAACTGAAGTGAAAAGGTTTCTGTACTGCTGTTCTATCTCAAATTCCTCGCCCACAGTAACCAGAGTCAACAGCTGGTATAATCTCCAGTGTTCTTTTGTTCATTGACATACCTGTACCTGCATCTTTATATAGTTATCTATACATGTCACCATACTAAAGGTGTTAGTCTGTGAATTATCTTAACTTACTATGGGTTGGGGTTTCTTAGTCTTTTTATTTTTTTTGTATTTGGCCACTTTATTTCACTAAACCTCCATTTATCTCTATAAAATAGGGAGAACTAATAATCTTAGTAATAGGGATTTGATAAAATGGTGGATGTTAAACTACTTTGCGTACAAAGTTATCATTATTGCAGAGGCACTGCCAGCATGGATGAAGAAATGGAGGACAAAGCCTAACCTTTCTACGTGGCCTCCACTCTCTGGCCTTTTCTCATGGTTACTTTTTAAGATGGTGTATACAGACATCTGTGGGATTTTGAAAATATTTCTGTAGGAAGGATTTCTAGAAATAGAATTGCTGGATCAGAAGGTCTGTGTATTTTAAATTCATTTAGGAGCTGTCAAAATTGTTTTTCCCAATTGATATCACCATTTTATACTTAATGTATTCTTTTTTTCAGTGCATGTTTATTGAGTATCTATTGTATGTCATTACTGTTCTAGGTGTTATAGATACAATGGCAAATAAAAGTTATTATTCTCACTACACATATTTGGGAGAGAAAATAAACAAATAGTTGAGTAAATATATAATATAATGGCTGGTGGTGATTAGTACTGTGAGAAAATAACGCAGGAAGAGGCATGGAAAATAATGAGGAAGGTTACTTATCTTAGGGCAATAGGAGGCCCTTAAGCAAGAGGTGACATTGGAGCTTGCGGGAGCTCCTGCAGGTCCAGGGGTTCCCTCAGGTGGAGACGGCGTCGGCGAGGAAAAGAAGAAAGACGCGCGGAGACACAGGCGTGCTTTCAAGAAGTGTCTCACTTTATTTTTACAGCGTGTCCTTTTTATACTGGACAGTTGACTATTTACATCATTGAGCTCTTTTTCCCAGAGTCAAACTTTTACCCATTAAAAGTCGTTTTTTACATAGTTTCAATGATTCTTCCTTTCCCAGGGTCTATTTTCCTTAAGGTTTGTTTTTCTCAGAGTTTTACTTCCTCACAATGTTTCTGTTACATGGTACAGCCGGATCTCTTCTATACTAATGACTAACTTATCCTAACTATGTTTCAGTTTCTACGATAATGGCCAGAGCTGAGCTCCTGCCTTGGCGCCTAAAGGATGTTTACTACTTAGCAATTATTTCAAACACTACTGGCTAAACAGGATCTTTAAGAATTATAAGGTGCATAACTTGTCTATTACTAAGAAACTAACAGCAAAACAGAATTATCGCAATATGTCTAAAACTCACTTATTCAGTGAAGATACACTAAACAACCAATATAAGAAGGGGTGTCAGATCTTCGTCCTACTGGGGGGCATCCAAAGGGGAATTTAAATTTTTCAAGATGTAAAGCAGTATCTGTTTCTCAGTCAGAGCTTCAGAATTTGTCACAATAGCAGTGTGCTTGGCCATGTCAAACACTGAGGTGCAGCCGGCTCCCAACAGGAGCTGAGAACTGAATAAAAGATATGTTTTTAGTACTCTACTGGGTTAAATTAGCTAATTCTTTAAGCTATAGGTATATACCGGGGGTGCCAAAAAAAAGTACCCATTTTAAGAGATGTTATCTATGTATTACTTTTTGAAGTTGAATTGAATTACAGTAGCAATGTGTAGTATGACTTTTGCTCAAAAGATGGTAACCGAGTGAATGCTGGTATCATTCATTGTATTACAATTTTAATAGTTTTTGCCTTTCTTAAAATGTGTATACATTTTTTTGGTACTGTGTGTGTGTGTGAGTGTAGCCATATATATACACCATATTTCCCCATGTATAGTACGCTCCCATGTATAAGACGCACCTTAATTTGGGGGCCCGAAATTTGAAAAAAAATGTATTACATAAAGTTATTGAACTCAAGTTTTATTCATCATAAAATTCATACAACTCCTCATCACTGTCAAAACTCCCAACCATTAGCTTGTCCTCATCTGTTTCTGATGACGAATCACTGTCTATTTTTTTTTTTAAGATTTTTATTGGGGAATTGGGGGATGGGAACTGCACTGGGGAATTGAGGGAAGGGGAACAGACAAGTTGCTGTCCTTTTGTTCTTCAGTCTAGTTGTGGAGGACATTGCTTCACTGGCCCAAGTTGGCACCATCATTGCGCTCTTCCTGGGTGAGGCAGATCAGTCGCCAGCTTGTGGACGGCCGCTGACTGTGGCTGCTGGCTGCTCACGCTGGCTGCTGGCTACACACGGTAGCCCATGGCAACCCACTGCAGCAGGGGCTGCAGCCTACACCGTCGCCGGGACTCACGGCAGCCCAGCTCCAGGTTGAGCTGTTGTTCAGTATCTTAGCTATAGAGAGCAGTGTCACTGGCCCTCATATGTGGGATCCGAACCGGGGTCCTCTGGCGTCCCAAGCCAGCTCTTAACCAACGCGCCACTTGGTCGGCCCGAAAGCTTTTTTTATATGTTAGCTTTTACCAACCCATTTTTAAAAATTACTCATTCTGATTGGTTTTCAGTTATGCTCCGCTTGTGGAATGAGTTGCAAGGTTTTCTACCTATTTCTCTGACCTTGAGCAGTTTAAATAACATAGGAATTAGACTGTGATCGAATGATCCTTGTGTGGTCGCCAGTTGCACTCATGAGGAAGGCTGTCCTTTCCCAGCTTATTGGATTCTGAGCACTGCAGTCCCCCTTCCCCTTCATTCCCAAAGACATACGCACCTTCCTGAGTAAGAGGAACCTTCTCCTGGAGGTCCTTGAGGAGGAAGAAATCGTGATCATGTTTCCAGGCTTCCAACAGAGGGGAGCGTTGTCTGCTGTTGGTAGTTGGCTCCTCTTCTCAGAAGTACCCATCAGACTCCAGCAGGTGTTTTACTCTGCTTGTATGTTACTCTGGAAAGTGTATTAGGAGGGCAAAGGAGTCAGGATTGTGAATTTAGCCTGCCATCTTCTCCGAAACATTTGCTTGCCGTTATGGATTTAGTTATGTTTTTCAAGTATGTGTTTAAGTCTTTTGTGAGAGTTGGAGCAAGAAAGAGGAAAGATGTGTGTGTTTAGTGCTCAGGCCCCATCTTGATTACAGCTGAAAGTAATTTGCTGCTAATACTAACAAAAGGTTTACAAATGATTTATTTTCAAAATAGCAAGGATCCACTGGTAGTTACACATTAAAATAACATTTACTCGCACTGGAGTTGTCTTTCTTAAGAGAGCAGGAGAGGGAGTCCCTGATATTTGGGAATTTTATGTGGTATACATTATAAACCTGAAAGTAACCTGATATATATGTGTAAAGGTTTGAAAACTGCTAATTTATATGTAACACGTTATGTGTAATATATTATGTATAATAGTGAAATCTGTAGGAAATACGATTATAAACGTCTATTTTTATCTGTATTTATACATGTCTATTTTCAGGAAGATATCTGCATTGTACCTATGCTCTGTTGTGCTCTATAGAAGAATAAAAAATTGATCTCTCTTTGGATTACATTTATTTCAGAATTTTGACAAAACTTCTGGAAGTGTCAGATGATCCACAGGTCTTAGCTGTTGCAGCTCATGACGTTGGAGAATATGTGCGGCATTATCCACGAGGCAAACGGTACGAGACAAACCATTAATTTCATTTGGGTTTCCTGAAACACTCAACATAGAATTCTAACTAATGTGCTTATCTAAAATAGAGTAGTTTAGTAGAGGAACTAATGGAGTATGTGAAATCAAGATTACCATAATTAAAATGGGTAGTATAAAAATATAAGTACACATGCATAATATACTACTATACATTTATAATATACTATAGTGTAGTACCCAACAGAGATCACATTAGAAATTTCATGTTCAGGATTTTCTTCGGTTTGTGTGATTTAATTCAATAGCTATTTTGTGAGGTCTGGTTATTTTTCAACTACTATATATATAGTTACAGAGGTGAGTTAGACATTGTTATTGAACTCAGTAGGTTTAAAGTATAAAAAGAAATATAACACCTAAAAGAAAAGTTACAGTAGATGTATAATAATAGAATTAATATACATATTTCAGAGCATTGAAGAGAGATTCCATGTGGGAGGAGACAGATAAGGCTTTACAGAAGATGTACTGGCCACATAATTTAATTTAAAATCACTTAGGTTCATTACCAACAAAAAGATAGATAGCTTTTTTATTTTTTATTTATTTTATTATTATTATTATTTTAACTTTAAATCTTCTAATAGTCACTTTAGTTTTTTTCTTTTTGTTAAATTTTTATTAAATTTATTGGGATGACATTGGTTAGTAAAATTATATAGGTTTCAGGTGTACAATTTTATAACACATCATCTATCTATTGCATTGTGTGTTCAACACCCAGAGTCAGTTCTCCTTCCATCACCATATATTTGACCCTCTTTACCCATTTTTAAGATCCTCCCTCCCCCTTAATTTTTAAAATAAGAGATCAAAGTGCCAATATTAAAGGAGAAAACATTACATGGGACAAAGGGCTGTTTAATGGTTGTTTGGAAAAGCAGGAATGCATAGTGTTTTGGTTTGAATTGTTGCTTTTCTACTTGCTAATTGGTTTGCAAATTTATAAAACTAGGATGATAATCATATTCCTTTCTCACAAAGTTGATGTGAGGATTAAATGAGTCAATCCAAGTCAGTGATTAGAACAGTGCTAAGAAGTACATAGTAAACTCTCAGTAAGTATTAGCTACTTTTATTATTATTAATGTTAATATTTTATATTCATCGAAGCTATCTATAAGGAAGATATATAATATTTATCTTATTTATCATAAAACAGTATCATATAAACCCAGAACTTCTTAGAATGTGAAGAAAAATTGGCAGAGGCACAGTTGTAGTTGCAGACTTTAATATCCCACAAGTAGTTCATGACCACGTCTTTGTCTTTATTTTCCATAAATATTTAAATATCATAAGACATCATGTCAGTGACTAGATGGGATGCATCCCTTCAAGCAGACAATTACCTTTTTCTCCCAAGTGTCCATGGAATATATTGTTTTTGATCTTTACCTTGTTTTCTCTATATTTGATTTATAGTAGCTCAGGCTGCTTTGTATTGGTGGACTCCAAAATTATGACAGTTTCACCTGGCAGAATTTGCTAGTGCTGTGGAATATCATATCATGTTGGTCACATACTGAGTTGTCAGGATTGACACTATTTATGGAGAACTAGGCTTGGAGTAGGTAAGATGCAACCCACTTTTGGGTTCAGATACAAGGAGGAGAAGTTATAATTCAGGTCCCTGTGGAGTGAAGGGAGATGTTGCTGTTGCATTTCTGGGTTGGAATAATGACCATGAACATCTCTGAACTCCATGTCCATATGATGGGTAATGTGCAGAGTAAAGCATGGTAACTTCTAGGTTTGGAGGGATGGGTCTACCTCACAATTGGAGCTTTTCTTCAGGATAATTGAGAGAAAAAACATTAGGCAATGGCATATGGGAAACTACTCAGGATATTGATACATATTTCAGGGAAAGTAGAAAATAAGTTAGTGTACTAAATCACTCAGTGTTTGAACTGCAGGATACTTTTCTTCTGATCCAGCAAACCCTTATTGCAGGTCTTGCATAGAACTTTATTTTATGTGCACTTCAGAAGGCAGATGGCATAAATACAGACAGATACATAACTTTGTGTGAGTAAAAGTGCTTAATACATTATAAGAAGCTTCAAAAACAAATAGCGAAAGTTATGCAAAAAGCTCTTTTGGGGAAAATAATGACAAAAATAACAAAAGAAATTATTAGATTCATGTCTTCATATATATAAAAGAATAAAAAGATTCAACACTATTTCTTGCAGCATTATTTATAATAGCAACAAATTTTGAAAATAACCTAAATATGCAATATTAATGACATAGATAAACACTATGGTACATGCATATATAATAATGGGACTTTTTGATGATGAGATGGGACTATGCTTGTTATATGCAATAAGCTGAGAAGAATACAACCATAGTTATTAGATACGAACACACACACTACATGAAATAAATTAATACAAGTATTGACAGTGGCTATCTCATCTGTAGGATTACAGATCTTTTCAATTTTTTTCTTTGTAGATGCTGTGTTTCCTAATTGCGGGTGGGAAAGGGAAACAATTATTTTATAGGTGGGACCATTTGGGCCAATTCGGTGATCCGTTGTTGCTGTTTTTATACCTAAATGCTTATGGAGAATTAATGTGTATATGCTTGCACATTCTTATGCCATGACTATGAGAGGAGGTTCTCCCAGTTGGGAAGAGATATATGTAGAAAAATGCTATAAGAGCGCACAACTCCTTCCCACTGCCCTGTGGATTTAAAACTGAGGATTTAGTACAAGTGCCTCTGCCCTGTAATGGCAAAATTTTCCACTGTATAGATGGATGTGTTAGTTGGCAAATCAGAAGCCAAAATCTCAATGGCCCTGATACAAAGCTATCACTTCAGCCAGCAAAGGTGGCTGATACACCCCCACCAATACCAGGGGGCTGCCTGCAGATAAAGTTTCTTAGGACTATGTAGGCAGATTGACAGTGCTCAATTCCTCTGGCACTCAAGGAGAAACTGCTATCTTTTCAACCCGCACATTCTCCTTGGTCCTTTATATCAGCTAACCTGCAAATGGACAGCCTTTGAGGAGGGCCCAGACCAGCTGGCTGCACTGAGAGCTGTTGGCACTGTGAAACGTTCTCTACCTTTGTGGCTCCATAACCCATGTGACCCCTTTGATCTGCGGTCTGTGTTACTGATGATTTTGCCAACTGGATACTCTGACAGTAGAAGGCGACCTCCACGCAGGGGTACCCCTGGGGTGTGTCATCTTCCTGACATGGCTAATTACCAGCTATGCAGAACCAAACAGACATGGTTACTCCACTCGGTGGGCAGACTAGGCCATTCCTGTAGCTCTGGCCGTCACCTTCTTGATGAACTATTGTTTTTGCTGAGACCTAACTCTTGGGCTATTGTCAATGGTCTAGATTCTTAGTTTGCCACTTGGAAAACTGTAGAATAACATATTAGAGATACCTCTCTTTAAGTTGAGAACTATGGAAACCAGTTGCAGAGCTGATCAAATTCACACTGCCCAGATTGCCAGTTTTGCTGTCTGAATGATCTAGTCAATGTTGAAAGTGGGGTATTGAAGTCCCATACTACTACTGTATTGCTGTTTATTTCCCCCTTCAACTCTGTTAATATTTGCTTTATATATTTAAGTGCTCTTATGTTAGGTGCATAAATATTTTCAATTTTCATATCCTTTTGATGAATCAATTTTTATCACACTAAGCAGTCACCTTCTTTGTCACTTGTGACTGATTTTTTTCTGAAAGTCTCTTTTACCTGATATAAATATAGCTACTCCCACTATTTTTTGTTACTATTCGCATGGAATATCTTTTTCCTTTTACTTTCAACCTATGGGTGTTTTCAAACTGAGTCTTATAGGTCTTATAGGCAGCATATTTTTGGATCTTTTTTAAAAATTCATTCAGCCACTTTGTGCCTTGATTGGAGAATTTAGTCCATTTATATTTAATTGTTGATAGGAAAGGACTTACTGTTGCTACTTTGTTACTTGTTTTATGACTTTTTAAAATTTGCTTTGTTCCTTTCTTCCTTTGTTATTTATTTTTTGTAGTGGTATGCTTTGATTCCTTTCTCTTTCTCTCATGAGTGTCTATTATATGTTTTTCTTTGTGGTTATCATGAGGATTTTATAACACTCTAAGCTAATAACAATTATCTTTAGTTGCATATAGAAACTCTATGCTTTTACTTCTTCTCCCACATATGCTATTGATGTCATACTTTACATCTTTTTATATTGTGTACCCATTTACAAATTACTATAGCTATAATTATTTTTGATATTATTTTTTAACTTTTATGAGTGTACTAGAAATAAAAGTGATTTATACACCACCATTAGTATTAGGGAATTGTACATTCATCTATATGCGTATATTTACCTTTACCAGTGAGTTTTATCCTTTTACATGTTTTCAAGTTGTTACTTAATGTCCTTTAATTTCAACTTGAACTCTCTTTAGCATGACTTTTCTTATGTTTTTGATTTTTATTAGTTTCGGGTGTTCAAAACAATGTAATAGTTAGACATTTGCACCCTTCACAAGTGATAAATCCCCCCAATCTACTACCCGTCTGACATTGTATATAGCTGTTACAATTCCATTGACTATATTCTCTATGCTGTACTCCACATCCCGTGACTATATATACGTGTATGTGTGTGTGTGTGTGTGTATTTAATTATAATTGACATACAATATTATTCAACTTCAGCTTCAGGTGTATAGTGCAGTGGTCAGACATATACACAGTCTCTGAAGTGGTTGGTCTCCCTAATAAGTCCAGTGCCCATCTGACCCCCTACATAATCTTTACAACATTATTGATTATATTCCTCAAACTGTATTTCATATCCCTGTGACAATACTATGATTACTAATTTGTACTTTCTAATCCCTTTACCTTCTCCCCATCCCCCCTCCCATCTAGCAACCATTAGGTTTTTTTCCCCCTATGTCTCTGAGTCTATTTCTGTTTTGT